CGCGTCGGCTAGGGCCCATGGACGAGCGATGCCCCAGCTTGCGTTTGCAGATAGCGTCCCAGCCAATCGCCAGCATGGAGCCGCATTCCTGTTCGAGGTGGTTGCCTACCTCCTGCCGGGACTTTCTCTTATTGGTGTTATAGTTCCAGCCGGGTTGCCACAGCACCTTGCGCCGCGGCTTGTAGTAGAGCTGATTCGAGGCGTCGTGGCGGGGGGGGCAGTCGCGAGGGGGGACGGGGGTGCGAAGGGGGGCCAGCCTGTCGCCATGGCGGGGCCCGCCCCACGCTCCAGGGCTGGACGCTCCAAGGCTGCTGCAGAAAGCTGCTCGGGCTACGACGCCTCTCGTCACTGCTGAGCGCAGGGCTGCGGGGGGGGCGCCGCCCCCGCGGGCCCCAGTCGCAGCCGGTCGACTTGGAGCGTGCGCGCGACGCCAGGAGAACAGGAGCTGCTGTCGCGCCGGTGGCGCCCTGCCTCTGGGGGGTCGCTGGGCGCTTCAGACAGTCGCGAGCGCCCATCCTCGCTGCCGCTGGGCGACGACTTGGGCCCCCGCGATGGGGGGGGGCAGGGCTGCAGTCGAGCTGCTCGTTTGACTCGCGCCTCGGGGGGGCTGCGGGGCGCAGGGTCGTCGGCGAGTCGGGTTGGCCGCCCCCTCCGCCCACCCTGGCTTCTGCGCCTGGAGGGTGGGCAGGCGCAGCCTGCGGGGGGGCATTGCTGCAGGCGGCTGAAAAGGTCTGCCTCCTTCTCGCCGAAGCTGCAGGATACCCGCGCATCTGCTGGCCCCGATGGCAAGTGATGCCCCTCGAGCTCAGGTAGCCGAGCAGTATCTCCTGGCTGCGCCACGCGGGGTCTCGTCTTTTCGCGGGCGCCTGGGGATCATGCTCGTTGCGGCGTGCGCCCCATTCGTCGGTCCCGCTGGGGCCGCTGGTGAGTTCGCGGCGCCTCTGGCGGTGAAGGGGATTGTCTAGCAGAGCCAGGGTGGCGCGCTTGCCGCCCCACTGGGCACCTGGGGGGAGCCCTGGCGGCGGGATGGAGTCGCCGTAGATGGTGGCGCGGAATTCCTGACAGCTCGCTGAAGGACGGGCCCTGGGGCCAGCAAGTATTCCCAGACCTTTCCCCAGCCTGCGGAGAGAAGAGGACCTGTTCTCCACCGTCCAGGTCCTCCAAAGTTCGTCGATCAGGGGAGGCGCGGAGCGGGCAGATGCCACCATTATGCGGGCAATCGCGTTGTCTGCCTTCCCGACCGAGGGATCAGGATAGATGCGCGCGCCTGCTTCTAGTGACGCAATGCCCCTCGCCTTGAGAGGGGGGCAGGGCGGTGGGCCAATGCTGGGGAGGTCGTCT